TTCGCCAGTGGGAAGTGGGCCATTTTCCAGTTTAAAGCGGAGGAAAAATAACGAAAGAAGAATCCATCAGGAACAAGAGGGCTCTCGCAGCTGCTTAGCAGCTAAGCTCGGGCCCTAACTAGGACCCCGTTGGGGCACTGGCGGGCCCGAGCCGTGTCGCGTCCCCCCCCCCCCCCCCCCCCCAACGTGCTGCCTCCCCGTCCAATTTGTGTCCTCTGGCCATCGCCCTCTCTGGTAACGCCCATCACTGCAAAGACCCTTTTCCTTCATCGGCGTTTGCTGTTCTTCCTGCCAGTGCGTGTTGCTTTCACTTACACTTGCCACAGCCAGCCTCGTGAGTGCCTAGCCTATTGGATATCACTGTCACCTACACAGGACAGTCATTACCTTTCTATTAATACTTTGTGTTTTAATTTCACATTAATTTCCATATTGTATAAATGACTGGAAAAAACTTGAGCCCCTGCCCCTGTATAATCATGTGCACGTCCCTGTTCTAGCTCCAAGGTGAATCTTCACTGCTCATGTTCTCCTCAGAAATAGTCACCTCACTCCCCTCAGGTTACTGTACACATGCACCAACTATCTGCTTCAGGTTTGAAATGGAGCTTCATGGTTGTCTTTTGGAGAAATGACCAGTCAAGTTGTGTTTGAAATTTGATTTTTTTCAGGGGCAAAAGGAGCCTCTGCATTCTTGTCAAATATGTAAATAGCATGTTTTTGCAGGTGCTAAAAACCAGACTCTGAGTGTGTGTGTGTGTGTGTGTGTGTGTGTGTGTGTGTGTGTGTGTGTGTGTGCGTGTGTGTGTGTCTGTGTGTGCGTTCAAGTCACATGACATATTTAACCGGATGTAGCTGCAAGACGGAGCCTCGTTGACTCTCCGTTTCAACTTATCTCAAAAGTGAGGACCTCAACCTATATACCAGTTTTTAAATTGTGTTGATAGGCCAAATAAAATCAGAGTTATGATAAATTATGTCCGCGATACTTTTTTTCTGCTTATTTTGATCACGTTCGGCGCTCGATCGCGCTGTATGAGACAGGAAAACATAGCATGCAGACATTAGCGACAGGTCTTACAGGCGGAAAAGGCTTGCCAAAAGACAAAAAAAACACACCACAACATCTCTCCTATTGGTGGAAAACTTCACCACAACAACCAATCCAAAATTATATGGTGACTGATTGACAAGGGGCTGGCGCTTACGTTCTTCCTGCAACATGAGAAGCGAGGGAGGGACTCTCAGCAGGGATGCAGTCTGGGACACGTAGTTGCAAACCTAGCGACTTTGTTGTTAGATTCAATGACTTTTCAGACCCCCTAACGACTTTTTTTTAGAAAGAAAGGGACTTTTATCGACTTCTTCTGGAGATTAGAGACTCTGACATGAAGCAGGCTTTCCTTACTGAGGAGTTAGCAACGCTGCTAAGGGTGCAGAGCCACACATGCGCTCCGAGCTCTGCATGGGAGACTGAAGCTGACAGAGCTGCAGCAGTTAGCAGGTTTCACCCTCAGAGACCACCAGGGGTTCATGTTGAGGCATTTTAATTTTTTTTTTTTTTTTGTGCCATAGACACTGTCAGCACAATCTGCAGTTACACTAACAAAAATGCTGCAAAAAACAAAGAATTATGGAAAAATTACACATGGACTGACATAGAGGAGGATCTACACAAGTTTTTTACATCATGTTTTACATCATGCATCATTTACATCATGTTTTTTTGTAGTGGCATAAATAAAAAGTGACATTTGTGAGACTATACAGTGTTTTGTAAATAATTTTACAAAGAACGCCTGGGCCATTGCCTGCATTTTGATGTAAATAGAGGTAAATTACTATGTTCTTTGTTAAAAATTTGCATATGTTTTGAAGTTTACAATTTTTATTTGAAGTTTAAGTTTTAAAAACAGTTCATCACACATATTTGTGGTTTAATTTCACATTAATTTCCATATTGTATAAATGACTGGAAAAAACTTGAGCCCCTGCCCCTGTATAATCATGTGCACGTCCCTGTTCTAGCTCCAAGGTGAATCTTCACTGCTCATGTTCTCCTCAGAAATAGTCACCTCACTCCCCTCAGGTTACTGTACACATGCACCAACTATCTGCTTCAGGTTTGAAATGGAGCTTCATGGTTGTCTTTTGGAGAAATGAACAGTCAAGTTGTGTTTGAAATTTGATTTTTTTCAGGGGCAAAAGGAAGCCTCTGCATTCTTGTCAAATATGTAAACAGCATGTTTTTGCAGGTGCTAAAAAACAGACTCTGTGTGTGTGTGTGTGTCTGTGTGTGTGTGTGTGTGTGTGTGTGTGTGTGTATGTTGGCGTGTGTGTATATGTGTGTGTATCCTGCAGTACTCTGTACTCCTGCAGTGGCCAAAAAGACTTTTAAGAATGTGGATTTTTGGGTCATCTTTGGCGCCCCCTAGAACTGCAGTACTCTGTACTCCTGCAGTGGCCAAAATGACTTTTAAGAATGTGGATTTTTGGGTCATCTTTGGCGCCCCCTAGAACGTAAACCGTGGGGTGCAGCGTCATGATTTTTACAACTTTGAATGGGCATGGGGTGTAGATTGCCCTGAGCAAATTTGGTATCGGTGGGACGAAAGCCTTAGGAGGAGATAGCCACATTCCAATGTGTGCGAATCGGCAAAAATGCAAAATAGCCCTTTAACCGTACATTATACAGATACGCGCTCTTTGACTTTTTCGTAGATCTAATTGAGATACACATGATTGTCAATTTTTGTGTCAATATGACAAAGCGTTCAGGCGTGACACTCAACAATGTGTATTTTTATGTAAGGGGACAAGAAAAAATTGACTTTTTTCTCCTACCATGGGGGGGCGCTCTTTTGGGGAGTAAAAATTCCTTCACAAATGTGTTGATGGCTGGACATTGCATCATCCTAGAAAACTTGGAGGCCAGTGAGGACAAAAATAAAAAGTTATAAAACATTTAAGAATGTGGATTTTTGGGTTATTTTTGGCGCCCCCTAGAACCTAAACCATGGGGTGCAGCATCATGATTTGAATAACTTTTAATGGCCATGGGGTGTAGATTGGCCTGAGCAAATGTGGTGCCGGTGGAACGAAAGCCTTCGGAGGAGTTAGCGAAATTCCAATGTGTGCGTATCGGCAAAAAATGCGGAATAACCCTTTAACTGTACATTTGACAGATACGCGCGCATGGACTTTTTTGTAGATCTTATTGAGTTACATGTGTGTGTCAATTTTTGTGTCATTTTGACAAAGCGTATAGGCGTGACACTCAACAATGTGTATTTTCACCTTAGGGGACAAGAAAAAATGGACTTTTTTCTCCTGCCATGGGGGGGCGCTCTTTTGGGGAGTAAAAATTCCTTCACAAATGTGTTGATGGCTGGACATTGCATCATCCTAGAAAACTTGGAGGCCAGTGAGGACAAAAATAAAAAGTTATAAGACTTTTAAATATGTGGATTTTAGTGTTATCTTTGGCGCCCCCTAGAACCTAAACCTTGGGGTGCAGCGTCATGATTTTGATAACTTTTAATGGCCACAGGGTGTAGATTGGCCTGAGCAAATGTGGTGCCGGTGGAACGAAAGCCTTCGGAGGAGTTAGCGAAATTCCAATGTGTGCGGATCGGCAAAAAATGCGAAATAACCCTTTAACCGTAATTTTGACAGATACGGCCGCACTGACTTTTTTGTAGATCTTATTGAGATACATGTGTGTGTCAATTTTTGTGTCAATATGACAAAGCGTACAGGCGTGACAGTCAATAGTGTGAATTTCCACCTTAGGGGGCGCTATGGAGCCATTTTGCATTTTATTGTTTTGGCGACTTCAGAATATCGAATTTTTCACCAGGCCCGGTCGTCCTGCCAAATTTCATGAGTTTTCGCCAGTGGGAAGTGGGCCATTTTCCAGTTCAAAGGGGAGGAAAAAGAAACTAGGGCCCCGTTGGGGCACTGGCGGGCCCGAGCCGCGTTGCGCCGCCCCCAGTGCGACCGCCTCCCCCTCCCGATCGCGTCACACTCAAGGTCCAAAGATGGTGTGCGCACTTGTCTGTGGTCATTTCCCATTATAATGAATGGGAGGCGCAGTTTCTACCAAAACACTCGCTGCAGACAAACTACATGTCCTATTTGAAAAAAGTCTGGACCATGAGTGAGGGCACAAGCACAGCTAGGATATATCCAAACGGCAAGTTGCTCCTCGTTACGGTGTTGCCGGGAGAGCGATGCGATTGAGCCATTGAGTGATGGGCAGGAAAAACTTGACTGTTTCTCCTGCCATGGGGGATGGGGGATGGGGGATGGGGGGGGGGGGGGGGGGGGATGTGGATTCTTTTAAGAATGTGGATTTTTTGGTCATCTTTGGCGCCCCCTAGAACGTAAACCGTGGGGTGCAGCGTCATGATTTTTAAAACTTTGAATGGCCATGGGGTGTAGATTGGCCTGAGCAAATTTGGTGTCAGTGGGACGAAAGCCTTAGGAGGGGTTAGCCACATTCCAATGTGTGCTAATCGGCAAAAAATGCAAAATAGCCCTTTAACCGTACATTTTACAGATACGCGCGCATTGACTTTTTCGTAGATCTTATTGAGATACATGTGTGTGTCAAATTTTGTGTCAATATGACAAAGCATACAGGTATGACAGTCAACAATGTGTATTTTCACCTTATGGGACAAGAAAAAATGGACTTTTTTCTCTTGCCATGGGGGGGCGCTCTTTTGGGGAGTAAAAATTCCTTCACAAATGTGTTGATGGCTGGACATTGCATCATCCTAGAAAACTTGGAGGCCAGAGAAGACAAAAATAAAAAGTTATAAGACTTTTAAATATGTGGATTTTAGGGTTATCTTTGGCGCCCCCTAGAACCTAAACCGTGGGGTGCAGCGTCATGATTTGAATAACTTTTAATGGCCATGGGGTGTAGATTGGCCTGAGCAAATGTGGTGCCGGTGGATTGAAAGCCTTCGGAGGAGTTAGCGAAATTCCAATGTGTGCGAATCGGCAAAAAATGCGCAATAACCCTTTAACCGTACATTTGACAGATACGCCAGCACTGACTTTTTTGTAGATCTTATTGAGATACATGTGTGTGTCAATTTTTGTGTAATTTTGACAAAGCGTACAGGCGTGACAGTCAATAGTGTGAATTTTCACCTTATGGGACAAGAAAAAATGGACTTTTTTCTCCTGCCATGGGGGGGCGCTCTTTTGGGGAGTAAAAATTCCTTCACAAATGTGTTGATGGCTGGACATTGCATCATCCTAGAAAACTTGGAGGCCAGTGAGGGCAAAAATAAAAAGTTATAAGACTTTGAAATATGTGGATTTTAGGGTTATCTTTGGCGCCCCCTAGAACCTAAACCGTGGGGTGCAGCGTCATGATTTGAATAACTTTTAATGGCCATGGGGTGTAGATTGGCCTGAGCAAATGTGGTGCCGGTGAAACGAAAGCCTTCGGAGGAGTTAGCGAAATTCCAATGTGTGCGGATCGGCAAAAAATGCGCAATAACCCTTTAACCGTACATTTGACAGATACGCCCGCACTGACTTTTTTGTAGATCTTATTGAGATACATGTGTGTGTCAATTTTTGTGTCATTTTGACAAAGCGTACAGGCGTCAGGTGAATTTTTCACCTTAGGGGGCGCTATGGAGCCATTTTGCATTGTATTGTTTGGGCGACTTCAGAATATCAAATTTTTCACCAGGCCCGGTCGTCCTGCCAAATTTCATGAGTTTTCGCCAGTGGGAAGTGGGCCATTTTCCAGTTCAAAGGGGAGGAAAAAAAACTAGGACCCCGTTGGGGCACTGGCGGGCCCGAGCTGTGTCGCGTCCCCCCCCCCAACGCGCTGCCTCCCCGTCCCATTTGTGTCCTCTGGCCATCGCCCTCTCTGGTAACGCCCATCACTGCAAAGACCCTTTTCCTTCATCGGCGTTTGCTGTTCTTCCTGCCAGTGCGTGTTGCTTTCACTTACACTTGCCACAGCCAGCCTCTTGAGTGCCTAGCCTATTGGATATCACTGTCACCTACTCAGGACAGTCATTACCTTTCTATTAATACTTTGTTTTTTAATTTCACATTAATTTCCATATTGTATAAACAACTGGAAAAAACTTGAGCCCCTGCCCCTGTATAATCATGTGCACGTCTCTGTTCTAGCTCTAAGGTGAATCTTCACTGCTCATGTTCTCCTCAGAAGCAGTCACCTCACTCCCCTCAGGTTACTGTACACATGCACCAACTGCCTGCTTCAGGTTTGGATGGAGCTTCATGGTTGTCTTTTGGAGAAATGACCAGTCAAGTTGTGTTTGAAATTTGATTTTTTTTCAGGGGCAAAAGGAGCCTCTGCATTCTTGTCAAATATGTAAATAGCATGTTTTTGCAGGTGCTAAAAACCAGACTCTGAGTGTGTGTGTGTGCGTGTGTGTGTGTGTGTGTGTGTGTGTGTGTGTGTGTGTGTGTGTGTGTGCGTTCAAGTCACATGACATATTTAACCGGATGTAGCTGCAAGACGGTGCCTCGTTGACTCCGTTTCAACTTATCTCAAAAGTGAGGACCTCAACCTATATACCAGTTTTTAAATTGTGTTGATAGGCCAAATAAAACCAGAGTTATGATAAATTATGTCCGCGATACTTGTTTTCTGCTTATTTTGATCACGTTCGGCGCTCGATCGCGCTGTATGAGACAGGAAAACATAGCATGCAGACATTAGCGACAGGTCTTACAGGCGGAAAAGGCTTGCCAAAGGAAAAAAAAAACACACCACAACATCTCTCCTATTGGTGGAAAACTTCACCACAACAACCAATCCAAAATTATATGGTGACTGATTGACAAGGGGCGGGCGCTTACGTTCTTCCTGCAATATGAGAAGGGAGGGAGGGACTCTCAGCAGGGATGCAGTCTGGGACACGTAGTTGCAAACCTAGCGACTTTGTTGTTAGATTCAATGACTTTTCAGACCCCCTAACGACTTTTTTTTTTAGAAAGAAAGTGACTTTTATCGACTTCTTCTGGAGTTTAGAGACTCTGACATGAAGCAGGCTTTCCTTACTGAGGAGTTAGCAACGCTGCTAAGGGTGCAGAGCCACACATGCGCTCCGAGCTCTGCATGGGAGACTGAAGCTGACAGAGCTGCAGCAGTTAGCAGGTTTCACCCTCAGAGACCACCAGGGGTTCATGTTGAGGCATTTTCAGTTTTTTTTTTTTTTTTGCCATAGACACTGTCAGCACAATCTGCAGTTACACTAACAAAAATGCTGCAAAAAACAAAGAATTATGGAAAAATTACACATGGACTAACATAGAGTAGGATATACACAAGTTTTTTACATCATGTTTTACATCATGCATCATTTACATCATGTTTTTTTGTAGTGGCATAAATAAAAAGTGACATTTGTGAGACTATACAGTGTTTTGTAAATAATTTTACAAAGAACACCTGGGCCATTGCCTGCATTTTGATGTAAATAGAGGTAAATCACTATGTTCTTTGTTAAAAATTTGCATATGTTTTGAAGTTTACAATTTTTATTTGAAGTTTAAGTTTTAAAAACAGTTCATCACACATATTTGTGGTTTTCACAGTAAAAACGTTACTTTTTTCCACTCGGATTTTATGTTTTGTGTGTGAATTTGGGTCCAATGTGTAAATATAGTATGTCAAAATGATAAAATAACTGTAAATTGACACAGGTGAGGTTGTGCTGAAAAAAATGATACCAGGCAAGGCAAGGTAAAAATTTTGTAAGAGGAAATATAAAGGTAAAATCTAAAGTAGTCAAAAACGGCCAATAGTGACTCACAGACTCCACAGACAAGTCCCTTTGGCGCCACTCAGTGGGCAAAACTACTTTGTCTACTGTAATGTATATTTGGGTCATCTTTGGCGCCCCCTAAAACGTAAACCGTGGGGTGCAGCGTCATGATTTTTACAACTTTGAATAGCCATGGAGTGTAGATTGGCCTGAGCAAATTTGGTGTCAGTGGGACGAAAGCCTTAGGAGGAGTTAGCGAAATTCCAATGTGTGCGAATCGGCAAAAAATGCAAAATAGCCCTTTTACCGTACATTATACAGATACGCGCTCTTTGACTTTTTCGTAGATCTAATTGAGATACACATGATTGTCAATTTTTGTGTCATTTTGCCAAAGCGTACAGGCGTGACAGTCAACAATGTGTATTTTCACCTTAGGGGACAAGAAAAAATGGACTTTTTTCTCCTGCCATGGGGGGGCGCTCTTTTAGGGAGTAAAAATTCCTTCACAAATGTGTTGATGGCTGGACATTGCATCATCCTAGAAAACTTGGAGGCCAGTGAGGACAAAAATAAAAAGTTATAAGACTTTTAAAAATGTGGATTTTTGGGTTATCTTTGGCGCCCCCTAGAACGTAAACCGTGGGGTGCAGCGTCATGATTTGAATAACTTTTAATGGCCATGGGGTGTAGATTGGCCTGAGCAAATGTGGTGCCGGTGGAACGAAAGCCTTCGGAGGAGTTAGCGAAATTCCAATGTGTGCGAATCGGCAAAAAATGCGGAATAACCCTTTAACCGTACATTTGACAGATACGCGCGCGTGGACTTTTTTGTAGATCTTATTGATATACATGTGTGTGTCAAATTTTGTGTCATTTTGACAAAGCGTACAGGCGTGACACTCAACAATGTGTATTTTCACCTTAGGGGACAAGAAAAAATGGACTTTTTTCTCCTGCCATGGGGGGGCGCTCTTTTGGGGAGTAAAAATTCCTTCACAAATGTGTTGATGGCTGGACATTGCATCATCCTAGAAAACTTGGAGGCCAGTGAGGGCAAAAATAAAAAGTTATAAGACTTTTAAATATGTGGATTTTAGGGTTATCTTTGGCGCCCCCTAGAACCTAAACCGTGGGGTGCAGCGTCATGATTTGAATAACTTTTAATGGCCATGGGGTGTAGATTGGCCTGAGCAAATGTGGTGCCGGTGGAACGAAAGCCTTCGGAGGAGTTAGCGAAATTCCAATGTGTGCGGATCGGCAAAAAATGCGAAATAACCCTTTAACCGTACATTTGACAGATACGCCCGCACTGACTTTTTTGTAGATCTTATTGAGATACATGTGTGTGTCAAATTTTGTGTCATTTTGACAAAGCGTACAGGCGTGACACTCAATAGTGTGAATTTTCACCTTAGGGGGCGCTATGGAGCCATTTTGCATTTTCTAGTTTGGGCGACTTCGGAATATCAAATTTTTCACCAGGCCCGGTCGTCCTGCCAAATTTCATGAGTTTTCGCCAGTGGGAAGTGGGCCATTTTCCAGTTCAAAGGGGAGGAAAAAGAAAAAAGAAACAAAGAAAAACCCCTTGGGGAATAATAGGGCTCTCGCAGCTGCTTAGCAGCTACGCTCGGGCCCACATTAGCGACAGGTCTTACAGGCGGAAAAGGCTTGCCAAAGGAAAAAAAAAACACACCACAACATCTCTCCTATTGGTGGAAAACTTCACCACAACAACCAATCCAAAATTATATGGTGACTGATTGACAAGGGGCGGGCGCTTACGTTCTTCCTGCAATATGAGAAGGGAGGGAGGGACTCTCAGCAGGGATGCAGTCTGGGACACGTAGTTGCAAACCTAGCGACTTTGTTGTTAGATTCAATGACTTTTCAGACCCCCTAACGACTTTTTTTTTTAGAAAGAAAGTGACTTTTATCGACTTCTTCTGGAGTTTAGAGACTCTGACATGAAGCAGGCTTTCCTTACTGAGGAGTTAGCAACGCTGCTAAGGGTGCAGAGCCACACATGCGCTCCGAGCTCTGCATGGGAGACTGAAGCTGACAGAGCTGCAGCAGTTAGCAGGTTTCACCCTCAGAGACCACCAGGGGTTCATGTTGAGGCATTTTCAGTTTTTTTTTTTTTTTTTGCCATAGACACTGTCAGCACAATCTGCAGTTACACTAACAAAAATGCTGCAAAAAACAAAGAATTATGGAAAAATTACACATGGACTAACATAGAGTAGGATATACACAAGTTTTTTACATCATGTTTTACATCATGCATCATTTACATCATGTTTTTTTGTAGTGGCATAAATAAAAAGTGACATTTGTGAGACTATACAGTGTTTTGTAAATAATTTTACAAAGAACACCTGGGCCATTGCCTGCATTTTGATGTAAATAGAGGTAAATCACTATGTTCTTTGTTAAAAATTTGCATATGTTTTGAAGTTTACAATTTTTATTTGAAGTTTAAGTTTTAAAAACAGTTCATCACACATATTTGTGGTTTTCACAGTAAAAACGTTACTTTTTTCCACTCGGATTTTATGTTTTGTGTGTGAATTTGGGTCCAATGTGTAAATATAGTATGTCAAAATGATAAAATAACTGTAAATTGACACAGGTGAGGTTGTGCTGAAAAAAATGATACCAGGCAAGGCAAGGTAAAAATTTTGTAAGAGGAAATATAAAGGTAAAATCTAAAGTAGTCAAAAACGGCCAATAGTGACTCACAGACTCCACAGACAAGTCCCTTTGGCGCCACTCAGTGGGCAAAACTACTTTGTCTACTGTAATGTATATTTGGGTCATCTTTGGCGCCCCCTAAAACGTAAACCGTGGGGTGCAGCGTCATGATTTTTACAACTTTGAATAGCCATGGAGTGTAGATTGGCCTGAGCAAATTTGGTGTCAGTGGGACGAAAGCCTTAGGAGGAGTTAGCGAAATTCCAATGTGTGCGAATCGGCAAAAAATGCAAAATAGCCCTTTTACCGTACATTATACAGATACGCGCTCTTTGACTTTTTCGTAGATCTAATTGAGATACACATGATTGTCAATTTTTGTGTCATTTTGCCAAAGCGTACAGGCGTGACAGTCAACAATGTGTATTTTCACCTTAGGGGACAAGAAAAAATGGACTTTTTTCTCCTGCCATGGGGGGCGCTCTTTTAGGGAGTAAAAATTCCTTCACAAATGTGTTGATGGCTGGACATTGCATCATCCTAGAAAACTTGGAGGCCAGTGAGGACAAAAATAAAAAGTTATAAGACTTTTAAAAATGTGGATTTTTGGGTTATCTTTGGCGCCCCCTAGAACGTAAACCGTGGGGTGCAGCGTCATGATTTGAATAACTTTTAATGGCCATGGGGTGTAGATTGGCCTGAGCAAATGTGGTGCCGGTGGAACGAAAGCCTTCGGAGGAGTTAGCGAAATTCCAATGTGTGCGAATCGGCAAAAAATGCGGAATAACCCTTTAACCGTACATTTGACAGATACGCGCGCGTGGACTTTTTTGTAGATCTTATTGATATACATGTGTGTGTCAAATTTTGTGTCATTTTGACAAAGCGTACAGGCGTGACACTCAACAATGTGTATTTTCACCTTAGGGGACAAGAAAAAATGGACTTTTTTCTCCTGCCATGGGGGGGCGCTCTTTTGGGGAGTAAAAATTCCTTCACAAATGTGTTGATGGCTGGACATTGCATCATCCTAGAAAACTTGGAGGCCAGTGAGGGCAAAAATAAAAAGTTATAAGACTTTTAAATATGTGGATTTTAGGGTTATCTTTGGCGCCCCCTAGAACCTAAACCGTGGGGTGCAGCGTCATGATTTGAATAACTTTTAATGGCCATGGGGTGTAGATTGGCCTGAGCAAATGTGGTGCCGGTGGAACGAAAGCCTTCGGAGGAGTTAGCGAAATTCCAATGTGTGCGGATCGGCAAAAAATGCGAAATAACCCTTTAACCGTACATTTGACAGATACGCCCGCACTGACTTTTTTGTAGATCTTATTGAGATACATGTGTGTGTCAAATTTTGTGTCATTTTGACAAAGCGTACAGGCGTGACACTCAATAGTGTGAATTTTCACCTTAGGGGGCGCTATGGAGCCATTTTGCATTTTCTAGTTTGGGCGACTTCGGAATATCAAATTTTTCACCAGGCCCGGTCGTCCTGCCAAATTTCATGAGTTTTCGCCAGTGGGAAGTGGGCCATTTTCCAGTTCAAAGGGGAGGAAAAAGAAAAAAGAAACAAAGAAAAACCCCTTGGGGAATAATAGGGCTCTCGCAGCTGCTTAGCAGCTACGCTCGGGCCCTAAAAAGAAACAAAGAAAAACCACTTGGGGAATAATAGGGCTCTCGCAGCTGCTTAGCAGCTACGCTCGGGCCCTAAAAAGAAAGAAAGAAACAAAGACTAGGACCCCGTTGGGGCACTGGCGGGCCCGAGCCGTGTCGCGTCCCCCCCCCCCCCCCCCCCCCCCCCCCCCAACGTGCTGCCTCCCCGTCCCATTTGTGTCCTCTGGCCATCGCCCTCTCTGGTAACGCCTATCACTGCAAAGACCCTTTTCCTTCATCGGCGTTTGCTGTTCTTCCTGCCAGTGCGTGTTGCTTTCACTTACACTTGCCACAGCCAGCCTCGTGAGTGCCTAGCCTATTGGATATCACTGTCACCTACACAGGACAGTCATTACCTTTCTATTAATACTTTGTGTTTTAATTTCACATTAATTTCCATATTGTATAAACGACTGGAAAAAACTTGAGCCCCTGCCCCTGTATAATCATGTGCATGTCTCTGTTCTAGCTCCAAGGTGAATCTTCACTGCTCATGTTCTCCTCAGAAGCACTCACCTCACTCCCCTCAGGTTACTGTACACATGCACCAACTGCCTGCTTCAGGTTTGGATGGAGCTTCATGGTTGTCTTTTGGAGAAATGACCAGTCAAGTTGTGTTTGAAATTTGATTTTTTTCAGGGGCAAAAGGAGCCTCTGCATTCTTGTCAAATATGTAAATAGCATGTTTTTGCAGGTGCTAAAAACCAGACTCTGAGTGTGTGTGTGTGTGTGTGTGTGTGTGTGTGTGTGTGTGTGTGCGTGTGTGTGTGTGTCTGTGTGTGCGTTCAAGTCACATGACATATTTAATCGGATGTAGCTGCAAGACGGAGCCTCGTTGACTCTCCGTTTCAACTTATCTCAAAAGTGAGGACCTCAACCTATATACCAGTTTTTAAATTGTGTTGATAGGCCAAATAAAACCAGAGTTATGATAAATTATGTCCGCGATACTTTTTTTCTGCTTATTTTGATCACGTTCGGCGCTCGATCGCGCTGTATGAGACAGGAAAACATAGCATCCAGACATTAGCGACAGGTCTTACAGGCGGAAAAGGCTTGCCAAAAGAAAAAAAAAACACACCACAACATCTCTCCTATTGGTGGAAAACTTCACCACAACAACCAATCCAAAATTATATGGTGACTGATTGACAAGGGGCGGGCGCTTACGTTCTTCCTGCAACATGAGAAGGGAGGGAGGGACTCTCAGCAGGGATGCAGTCTGGGACACGTAGTTGCAAACCTAGCGACTTTGTTGTTAGATTCAATGACTTTTCAGACCCCCTAACGACTTTTTTTTAGAAAGAAAGGGACTTTTATCGACTTCTTCTGGAGTTTAGAGACTCTGACATGAAGCAGGCTTTCCTTACTGAGGAGTTAGCAACGCTGCTAAGGGTGCAGAGCCACACATGCGCTCAGAGCTCTGCATGGGAGACTGAAGCTGACAGAGCTGCAGCAGTTAGCAGGTTTCACCCTCAGAGACCACCAGGGGTTCATGTTGAGGCATTTTAAATTTTTTTTTTTTGTGTGCCATAGACACTGTCAGCACAATCTGCAGTTACACTAACAAAAATGCTGCAAAAAACAAAGAATTATGGAAAAATTACACATGGACTGACATAGAGGAGGATCTACACAAGTTTTTTACATCATGTTTTACATCATGCATCATTTACATCATGTTTTTTTGTAGTGGCATAAATAAAAAGTGACATTTGTGAGACTATACAGTGTTTTGTAAATAATTTTACAAAGAACGCCTGGGCCATTGCCTGCATTTTGATGAAAATAGAGGTAAATCACTATGTTCTTTGTTAAAAATTTGCATATGTTTTGAAGTTTACAATTTTTATTTGAAGTTTAAGTTTTAAAAACAGTTCATCACACATATTTGTGGTTTTCACAGTAAAAATGTTACTTTTTTCCACTCGGATTTTATGTTTTGTGTGTGAATTTGGGTCCATTGTGTAAATTCAGTATGTCAACATGATAAAATAACTGTAAATTCGCACAGGTGAGGTTGTGCTGAAAAAAATGATACCAGGCAAGGCACGTGATTGTCAAATTTTGTGTCAATATGACAAAGCGTATAGGCGTGAATCTCAACAATATGTATTTTCACCTTAGGGGACAAGAAAAAATGGACTTTTTTCTCCTGCCATGGGGGGCGCTCTTTTGGGGAGTAAAAATTCCTTCACAAATGTGTTGATGGCTGGACATTGCATCATCCTAGAAAACTTGGAGGCCAGTGAGGACAAAAATAAAAAGTTATAAGACTTTTAAATATGTGGATTTTAGGGTTATCTTTGGCGCCCCCTAGAACCTAAACCGTGGGGTGCAGCGTCATGATTTGAATAACTTTTAATGGCCATGGGGTGTAGATTGTCCTGAGCAAATGTGGTGCCGGTGGAACGAAAGCCTTAGGAGGAGTTAGCCACATTCCAATGTGTGCGGATTGGCAAAAAATGCGGAATAACCCTTTAACCGTACATTTGACAGATACGCGCGCATTGACTTTTTCGTAGATCTTATTGAGTTACATGTGTGTGTCAATTTTTGTGTCATTTTGACAAAGCGTATAGGCGTGACACTCAACAATGTGTATTTTCACCTTAGGGGACAAGAAAAAATGGACTTTTTTCTCCTGCCATGGGGGGGCGCTCTTTTGGGGAGTAAAAATTCCTTCACAAATGTGTTGATGGCTGGACATTGCATCATCCTAGAAAACTTGGAGGCCAGTGAGGACAAAAATAAAAAGTTATAAGACTTTTAAATATGTGGATTTTAGTGTTATCTTTGGCGCCCCCTAGAACCTAAACCTTGGGGTGCAGCGTCATGATTTTGATAACTTTTAATAGCCACGGGGTGTAGATTGGCCTGAGCAAATGTGGTGCCGGTGGAACGAAAGCCTTCGGAGGAGTTAGCGAAATTCCAATGTGTGCGGATCGGCAAAAAATGCGAAATAACCCTTTAACCGTAATTTTGACAGATACGGCCGCACTGACTTTTTTGTAGATCTTATTGAGATACATATGTGTGTCAATTTTTGTGTCAATATGACAAAGCGTACAGGCGTGACAGTCAATAGTGTGAATTTCCACCTTAGGGGGCGCTATGGAGCCATTTTGCATTTTATTGTTTGGGCGACTTCAGAATATCGAATTTTTCACCAGGCCCGGTCGTCCTGCCAAATTTCATGAGTTTTCGCCAGTGGGAAGTGGGTCATTTTCCAGTTCAAAGGGGAGGAAAAAGAAGAAAGAAAGAAAGAACTAGGGCCCCGTTGGGGCACTGGCGGGCCCGAGCCGCGTTGCGCCGCCCCCAGTGCGACCGCCTCCCCCTCCCGATCGCGTCACACTCAAGGTCCAAAGATGGTGTGCGCACTTGTCTGTGGTCATTTCCCATTATAATGAATGGGAGGCGCAGTTTCTACCAAAACACTCGCTGCAGACAAACTACATGTCCTATTTGAAAAAAGTCTGGACCATGAGTGAGGGCACAAACACAGCTAGGATATATCCAAACGGCAAGTTGCTCCTCGTTACGGTGTTGCCGGGAGAGCGATGCGATTGAGCCATTGAGTGATGGGCAGGAAAAACTTGACTGTTTCTCCTGCCATGGGGGATGGGGGATGGGAGGGGGGGAAAGGGATGTGGATTCTTTTAAGAATGTGGATATTTGGGTCATCTTTGGCGCCCCCTAGAACGTAAACCGTGGGGTGCAGCGTCATGATTTTTAAAACTTTGAATGGCCATGGGGTGTAGATTGGCCTGAGCAAATTTGGTGTCAGTGGGACGAAAGCCTTAGGAGGAGTTAGCCACATTCCAATGTGTGCTAATCAGCAAAAAATGCAAAATAGCCCTTTAACCGTACATTTTACAGATACGCGCGCATTGACTTTTTCGTAGATCTTATTGAGATACATGTGTGTGTCAAATTTTGTGTCAATATGACAAAGCATACAGGTATGACAGTCAACAATGTGTATTTTCACCTTATGGGACAAGAAAAAATGGACTTTTTTCTCCTGCCATGGGGGGGCGCTCTTTTAGGGAGTAAAAATTCCTTCACAAATGTGTTGATGGCTGGACATTGCATCATCCTAGAAAACTTGGAGGACAGAGAGGACAAAAATAAAAAGTTATAAGACTTTTAAATATGTGGATTTTAGGGTTATCTTTGGCGCCCCCTAGAACCTAAACCGTGGGGTGCAGCGTCATGATTTGAATAACTTTTAATGGCCATGGGGTGTAGATTGGCCTGAGCAAATGTGGTGCCGGTGGAACGAAAGCCTTCGGAGGAGTTAGCGAAATTCCAATGTGTGCGGATCGGCAAAAAATGCGCAATAACCCTTTAACCGTACATTTGACAGATACGCGCGCACTGACTTTTTTGTAGATCTTATTGAGATACATGTGTGTGTCAATTTTTGTGTAATTTTGACAAAGCGTACAGGCGTGACAGTCAATAGTGTGAATTTTCACCTTTTGGAACAAGAAAAAATGGACTTTTTTCTCCTGCCATGGGGGGGCGCTCTTTTGGGGAGTAAAAATTCCTTCACAAATGTGTTGATGGCTGGACATTGCATCATCCTAGAAAACTTGGAGGCCAGTGAGGGCAAAAATAAAAAGTTATAAGACTTTGAAATATGTGGATTTTAGGGTTATCTTTGGCGCCCCCTAGAACATAAACCGTGGGGTGCAGCGTCATGATTTGAATAACTTTTAATGGCCATGGGGTGTAGATTGGCCTGAGCAAATGTGGTGCCGGTGGAATGAAAGCCTTCGGAGGAGTTAGCGAAATTCCAATGTGTGCGGATCGGCAAAAAATGCGAAATAACCCTTTAACCGTACATTTGACAGATACGCCCGCACTGACTTTTTTGTAGATCTTATTGAGATACATGTGTGTGTCAATTTTTGTGTCATTTTGACAAAGCGTACAGGCGTCAGGTGAATTTTTCACCTTAGGGGGCGCTATGGAGCCATTTTGCATTGTATTGTTTGGGCGACTTCAGAATATCAAATTTTTCACCAGGCCCGGTCGTCCTGCCAAATTTCATGAGTTTTCGCCAGTGGGAAGTGGGCCATTTTCCAGTTCAAAGGGGAGGAAAAATAATAACTAGGGCCCCGTTGGGGCACTGGCGGGCCCGAGCTGTGTCGCGCCGCCCCCAACACGACCGCCTCTCCCTCCCGATCGCGTCACACTCAAGGTCCAAAGATGGTGTGCACACTTGTCTGTGGTCATTTACCATTATAATGAATGGGAGGCGCAGTTTCTACCAAAACGCTCGCTGCAGACAAACTACATGTCCTATTTGAAAAAAGTCTGGACCATGAGTGAGGGCACAAACACAGCTAGGATATATCCAAATGGCAAGTTTCTCCTCCTTTCAGTTTTGCCGAGAGAGCGATGTGTTTGAGCCGTTGAGCGATGGGCAGGAAAAACTTGACTTTTTCTCCTGCCATGGGGGGGCGCTCTTTTAGGGAGTAAAAATTCCTTCACAAATGTGTTGATGGCTGGACATTGCATCATCCTAGAAAACTTGGAGGCCAGTGAGGACAAAAATAAAAAGTTATAAGACTTTTAAATATGTGGATTTTAGGGTTATCTTTGGCGCCCCCTAGAACCTAAACCGTGGGGTGCAGCGTCATGATTTGAATAACTTTTAATGGCCATGGGGTGTAGATTGGCCTGAGCAAATGTGGTGCCGGTGGAACAAAAGCCTTCGGAGGAGTTAGCGAAATTCCAATGTGTACGGATCGCCAAAAAATGCGAAATAGCCCTTTAACCGTACATTTGACAGATACGCCCGCATTGACTTTTTCGTAGATATTATTGAGATACACCTGTGTGCCAAATTTTGTGTCATTTTGACAAAGTGTAGAGGCGTGACACTCAACAATGTGTATTTTCACCTTAGGGGACAAGAAAAAATGGACTTTTTTCTCCTGCCATGGGGGGGCGCTCTTTTGGGGAGTAAAAATTCCTTCACAAATGTGTTGATGGCTGGACATTGCATCATCCTAGAAAACTTGGAGGCCAGTGAGGACAAAAATAAAAAGTTATAAGACTTTTAAATATGTGGATTTTAGGGTTATCTTTGGCGCCCCCTAGAACCTAAATCGTGGGGTGCAGCGTCATGATTTGAATAACTTTTAATGGCCATGGGGTGCAGATTGGCCTGAGCAAATGTGGTGCCGGTGGAACAAAAGCCTTCGGAGGAGTTAGCGAAATTCCAATGTGTACGGATCGCCAAAAAATGCGAAATAGCCCTTTAACCGTACATTTGACAGATACGCCCGCACTGACTTTTTTGTAGATCTTATTGAGATACATATGTGTGTCAAATTTTGTGTCATTTTGACAAAGCGTACAGGCGTGACAGTCAATACTGTGAATTTCCACCTTAGGGGGCGCTATGGAGCCATTTTGCATTTTATTGTTTGGGCGACTTCAGAATATCAAATTTTTCACCAGGCCCGGTCGTCCTGCCAAATTTCATGAGTTTTCGCCAGTGGGAAGTGGGTCATTTTCCAGTTTAAAGGGGAGGAAAAATAATAATAATAACAAAACTAGGGCCCCGGTGGGGCACTGTCGGGCCCGAGCCGCGTCGTGCCGCCCCCAGCGTGACCGCCTCCCCCTCCCGATCGCATCACACTCAAGGTCCAAAGATGGTGTGCGCACTTGTCTGTGGTCATTTCCCATCATAATGAATGGGAGGCGCAGTTTCTACCAAAACACTCGCTGCAGACAAACTTCATGTCCTATTTGAAAAAAGTCTGGACCATGAGTGAGGGCACAAACACAGCTGGGATATATCCAAATGGCAGGTTGCTCCTCGTTACGGTGTTGCCTGGAGAGCGATGCGATTGAGCCATTGAGCGATGGGCAGGAAAAACTTGACTTTTTCTCCTGCCATGGGGGGGGGGAGAATGTGGATTCTTTTAAGAATGTGGATTTTTTGGTCATCTTTGGCGCCCCCTAGAACGTAAACCATGGGGTGCAGCGTCATGATTTTTACAACTTTGAATGGCCATGGGGTGTAGATTGGCCTGAGCAAATTTGGTTTCAGTGGGACGAAAGCCTTAGGAGGAGTTAGCCACATTCCAATGTGTGCGAATCGGCAAAAAATGCAAAATAGCCCTTTAACCGTACATTTGACAGATACGCGCGAGTTGACTTTTTTGTAGATCTTATTGAGATACATATGTGTGTCAATTTTTGTGTCAATATGATAAAGCGTACAGGCGTGACAGTCAATAGTGTGAATTTCCACCTTAGGGGACAAGAAAAAATTGACTTTTTTCTCCTGCCATGGGGGGGCGCTCTTTTGGGGAGTAAAAATTCCTTCACAAATGTGTTGATGGCTGGACATTGCATCATCCTAGAAAACTTGGAGGCCAGTGAGGACAAAAATAAAAAGTTATAAGACTTTTAAATATGTGGATTTTTGGGTTATCTTTGGCGCCCCCTAGAACCTAAACCGTGGGATGCAGCGTCATGATTTGAATAACTTTTAATGGCCATGGGGTGTAGATTGGCCTGAGCAAATGTGGTGCCGGTGGAACGAAAGCCTTCGGAGGAGTTAGCAAAATTCCAATGTGTGCGGATCGGCAAAAAATGCGGAATAACCCTTTAACCGTACATTTGACAGATACGCGCGCATTGACTTTTTCGTAGATCTTATTGAGATACATGTGTGTGTCAATTTTTGTGTCATTTTGCCAAAGCGTACAGGTGTTACACTCAACAATGTGTATTTTCACCTTAGGGGACAAGAAAAAATGGACTTTTTTCTCCTGCCATGGGGGGGCGCTCTTTTGGGGAGTAAAAATTCCTTCACAAATGTGTTGATGGCTGGACATTGCATCATCCTAGAAAACTTGGAGGCCAGTGAGGGCAAAAATAAAAAGTTATAAGACTTTTAAATATGTGGATCTTAGGGTTATCTTTGGCGCCCCCTAGAACCTAAACCTTGGGGTGCAGCGTCATGATTTGAATAACTTTTAATGGCCATGGGGTGTAGATTGGCCTGAGTAAATGTGGTGCCGGTGGAACGAAAGCCTTCGGAGGAGTTAGCGAAATTCCAATGTGTGCGGATCGGCAAAAAATGCGAAATAACCCTTTAACCGTACATTTGACAGATACGCCCGCACTGACTTTTTTGTAGATCTTATTGAGATACATGTGTGTGTCAATTTTTGTGTCATTTTGACAAAGCGTACAGGCGTGACAGTCAATAGTGTGAATTTTCACCTTAGGGGGCGCTATGGAGCCATTTTGCATTTTCTTGTTTGGGCGACTTCGGAATATCAAATTTTTCACCAGGCCCGGTCGTCCTGCCAAATTTCATGAGTTTTCGCCAGTGGGAAGTGGGCCATTTTCCAGTTCAAAGGGGAGGAAAAATAATAACTAGGACCCCGTTGGGGCACTGGCGGGCCCGCGCCGTGTCGCCCCCCCCCCCCCCCCCCCCCCCCCAACGTGCTGCCTCCCCGTCCCATTTGTGTCCTCTGGCCATCGCCCTCTCTGTTAACGCCCATCACTGCAAAGACCCTTTTCCTTCATCGGCGTTTGCTGTTCTTCCTGCCAGTGCGTGTTGCTTTCACTTACACTTGCCACAGCCAGCCTTGTGAGTGCCTAGCCTATTGGATATCACTGTCACCTACACAGGACAGTCATTACCTTTCTATTAATACTTTGTGTTTTAATTTCACATTAATTTCCATATTGTATAAACGACTGGAAAAAACTTGAGCCCCTGCCCCTGTATAATCATGTGCATGTCTCTGTTCTAGCTCCAAGGTGAATCTTCACTGCTCATGTTCTCCTCAGAAGCACTCACCTCACTCCCCTCAGGTTACTGTACACATGCACCAACTGCCTGCTTCAGGTTTGGATGGAGCTTCATGGTTGTCTTTTGGAGAAATGACCAGTCAAGTTGTGTTTGAAATTTGATTTTTTTCAGGGGCAAAAGGAGCCTCTGCATTCTTGTCAAATATGTAAATAGCATGTTTTTGCAGGTGCTAAAAACCAGACTCTGAGTGTGTGTGTGTGTGTGTGTGTGTGTGTGCGTGTGTGTGTGTCTATGTGTGCGTTCAAGTCACATGACATATTTAACCGGATGTAGCTGCAAGACGGAGCCTCGTTGACTCTCCGTTTCAACTTATCTCAAAAGTGAGGACCTCAACCTATATACCAGTTTTTAAATTGTGTTGATAGGCCAAATAAAACCAGAGTTATGATAAATTATGTCCGCGATACTTTTTTTCTGCTTATTTTGATCACGTTCGGCGCTCGATCGCGCTGTATGAGACAGGAAAACATAGCATGCAGACATTAGCGACAGGTCTTACAGGCGGAAAAGGCTTGCCAAATAAAAAAAAACACACCACAACATCTCTCCTATTGGTGGAAAACTTCACCACAACAACCAATCCAAAATTATATGGTGACTGATTGACAGAGGCGGGCGCTTACGTTCTTCCTGCAACATGAGAAGGGAGGGAGGGACTCTCAGCAGGGATGCAGTCTGGGACACGTAGTTGCAAACCTAGCGACTTTGTTGTTAGATTCAATGACTTTTCAGACACCCTAACGACTTTTTTTAGAAAGAAAGGGACTTTTATCGACTTCTTCTGGAGTTTAGAGACTCTGACATGAAGCAGGCTTTCCTTACTGAGGAGTTAGCAACGCTGCTAAGGGTGCAGAGCCACACATGCGCTCAGAGCTCTGCATGGGAGACTGAAGCTGACAGAGCTGCAGCAGTTAGCAGGTTTCACCCTCAGAGACCACCAGGGGTTCATGTTGAGGCATTTTAATTTTTTTTTTTTTTGTGCCATAGACACTGTCAGCACAATCTGCAGTTACACTAACAAAAATGCTGCAAAAAACAAAGAATTATGGAAAAATTACACATGGACTGACATAGAGGAGGATCTACACAAGTTTTTTACATCATGTTTTACATCATGCATCATTTACATCATGTTTTTTTGTAGTGGCATAAATAAAAAGTGACATTTGTGAGACTATACAGTGTTTTGTAAATAATTTTACAAAGAACGCCTGGGCCATTGCCTGCATTTTGATGTAAATAGAGGTAAATTACTATGTTCTTTGTTAAAAATTTGCATATGTTTTGAAGTTTACAATTTTTATTTGAAGTTTAAGTTTTAAAAACAGTTCATCACACATATTTGTGGTTTAATTTCACATTAATTTCCATATTGTATAAATGACTGGAAAAAACTTGAGCCCCTGCCCCTGTATAATCATGTGCACGTCCCTATTCTAGCTCCAAGGTGAATCTTCACTGCTCATGTTCTCCTCAGAAATAGTCACCTCACTCCCCTCAGGTTACTGTACACATGCACCAACTATCTGCTTCAGGTTTGAAATGGAGCTTCATGGTTGTCTTTTGGAGAAATGAACAGTCAAGTTGTGTTTGAAATTTGATTTTTTTCAGGGGCAAAAGGAAGCCTCTGCATTCTTGTCAAATATGTAAACAGCATGTTTTTGCAGGTGCTACAAAACAGACTCTGAGTGTGTGTGTGTGTCTGTGTGTGTGTGTGTGTGTGTGTGTGTGTGTGTGTGTGTGTGTATGTTAGCGTGTGTGTATATGTGTGTGTATCCTGCAGTACTCTGTACTCCTGCAGTGGCCAAAAAGACTTTTAAGAATGTGGATTTTTGGGTCATCTTTGGCGCCCCCTAGAACTGCAGTACTCTGTACTCCTGCAGTGGCCAAAATGACTTTTAAGAATGTGGATTTTTGGGTCATCTTTGGCGCCCCCTAGAACGTAAACCGTGGGGTGCAGCGTCATGATTTTTACAACTTTGAATGGGCATGGGGTGTAGATTGCCCTGAGCAAATTTGGTATCGGTGGGACGAAAGCCTTAGGAGGAGATAGCCACATTCCAATGTGTGCGAATCGGCAAAAAATGCAAAATAGCCCTTTAACCGTACATTATACAGATACGCGCTCTTTGACTTTTTCGTAGATCTAATTGAGATACACATGATTGTCAATTTTTGTGTCAATATGACAAAGCGTTCAGGCGTGACACTCAACAATGTGTATTTTTATGTAAGGGGACAAGAAAAAATGGACTTTTTTCTCCTGCCATGGGGGGGCGCTCTTTTGGGGAGTAAAAATTCCTTCACAAATGTGTTGATGGCTGGACATTGCATCATCCTAGAAAACTTGGAGGCCAGTGAGGACAAAAATAAAAAGTTATAAGACTTTTAAATATGTGGATTTTAGTGTTATCTTTGGCGCCCCCTAGAACCTAAACCGTGGGGTGCAGCGTCATGATTTTGATAACTTTTAATGGCCACGGGGTGTAGATTGGCCTGAGCAAATGTGGTGCCGGTGGAACGAAAGCCTTCGGAGGAGTTAGCCAAATTCCAATGTGTGCGGATCGGCAAAAAATGCGAAATAACCCTTTAACCGTAATTTTGACAGATACGGCCGCACTGACTTTTTTGTAGATCTTATTGAGATAGATATGTGTGTCAATTTTTGTGTCAATATGACAAAGCGTACAGGCGTGACAGTCAATAGTGTGAATTTTCACCTTAGGGGGCGCTATGGAGCCATTTTGCATTTTATTGTTTGGGCGACTTCAGAATATCGAATTTTTCACCAGGCCCGGTCGTCCTGCCAAATTTCATGAGTTTTCGCCAGTGGGAAGTGGGCCATTTTCCAGTTCAAAGGGGAGGAAAAAGAAGAAAGAAAGAAAGAAAGAAAGAAAGAAACAAAGAAAAACCACTTGGGGAATAATAGGGCCTACGCCCGGCTGCTCTGCAGCTGGCTCGGGCCCTAATAATAATAACAAAAGAAGGAAACTACAGGAACAAGAGGGCTCTCGCAGCTGCTTAGCAGCTACGCTCGGGCCCTAAAGAAAGAAACAAAGAAAAACCACTTGGGGAATAATAGGGCCTACGCCCGGCTGCTCTGCAGCTGGCTCGGGCCCTAAAAAACCACTTGGGGAATAATAGGGCCTACGCCCGGCTGCTCTGCAGCTGGCTCGGGCCCTAATAACAAACTAGGACCCCGTTGGGGCACTGGCGGGCCCGAGCCGTGTCGCGTCCCCCCCCCCCCCCCCCCCCCCCCCCCCCAACGTGCTGCCTCCCCGTCCCATTTGTGTCCTCTGGCCATCGCCCTCTCTGGTAACGCCTATCACTGCAAAGACCCTTTTCCTTCATCGGCGTTTGCTGTTCTTCCTGCCAGTGCGTGTTGCTTTCACTTACACTTGCCACAGCCAGCCTCGTGAGTGCCTAGCCTATTGGATATCACTGTCACCTACACAGGACAGTCATTACCTTTCTATTAATACTTTGTGTTTTAATTTCACATTAATTT